AGCTAAAGTCTGTAGTTAATGCAGCGGAGAGCTAGTTTAAGTTCTTGAGCATCAGGGTAAACTGATGAAAAGAATTTCTGGGAAGAACAGAGAGGCAGCATTGATAATGTAGTAGTCTGGGGCAAGGTGATGAAGGCCTGAACTAGTGGTGCCAGTGAGAATAAAGTGGAATGGGTGAACCTGAGAACAGTTAATAGAGTTATGTATCGGTAGGTAAAATACTGTACACTGAACACCGAAGTCACTCTATACTAAGCATGACATGATCTTCTTCACCTAACATTATGAGTCTGAATGTCAGTTTTTACTGTATGGTATTATAATTGTTGACTTTGTAGAAAGTTGAATTAAATATATCATGACTCAGGGATAGAAACTAAAATTTGTTATGAGAATTAAATTCTATCAGCTTCCTTGTCTTTGTCTCTCTTGCTTTAAAAATGGAGTATACACTGCAAGGAGAAAAAAACAGTAATTCTTTGAATTAGAGGAACTCAAAGTCACACCTGCATAGTAAATTACAAAGTAATGAGATTGATCTTCATACACCACTAGGGAACTTAGCGTCTTCAGTCAGGTTCCTCAATAGTGGTGCTCAAACATCATGGAGGTCCTTGGAGATTGCGTCAGTTTCCTCATTTAACAGATTAGGAATCTACGATTCAAGGAGTTAATGTGTAGATAGTAATAGTAAAACACGGAGGTTGTACAGTTCCTACTGTGCATTTTAAAGAGAGCCTTCTGAAATGATGGATATATGAGAAATGAGAGGATTATTACAAAGTTTCTTATCAGAGTTAATAAAAGAGACTAAAGAGGTAGCCTTGATAAAAGTATTTATACACTTTAAATAGGTATCTAGTCTTTATAGTACTACAGTGATTATGAATAAAGATATCACAGTGAAAACTTGGAAAACACCAGTCAAGTCCATTGGTTCTTAAACTTACTGTATTTTATATTTTGTGAATAAAATTACTTTCATTTTCACAAAAGGCTGATATGTTTTGAAGCACAGATACGTGTTTGGAAAAAGAACACAAAAATTTTTGCAAACACCTGTTGCTTTCAAACACATGGGTAACTAATTTCTGAAAGGGCTAATACATCATTAAATCTTATTAATGTTCCAGGTTTCTGTTAAGTCAGCATTCTTTTACTGTATTATTGGCAGAAAGTGGATTAATATACTCAAGAAATGACAGTCATGGTGCTGAAAAAGATTTAAGTAAATGTTGGGTCCTTATATAAATGTAAAATAATATACCAGCAGAGAAAGAAGATTTAGTTGACTAAATATTAATATTATGTTGGATAAAGTCTCTGTTTCACTTTATCGTAACTAGTCCTTTTTCCTGCCTTCTTATCCAGTCACTCTTATTGCTCAATAAATATTAATTGGGGTCTAAAATTTCAACTACAAAATAAAACAAGTAAAATGATTTCAGCGTTAGGAAAACTGAAAACATGGGTGGTAGATCATAAGCATTCACTACCGCCTTAATATTATTTTCTCGGATTACTGGGCAAGTTTGCCTTCTTTTGCTTCTTTGATTGCCACACTACATTTTGCCTTGAAGCCATCCATTTTGCAGATACTGAATTTCTTTTGAGTACGATTTTTATACAATAAGCATCACCACACTTCTGGATCTTGATAGCATTACTGCAGGAGGAGAAAGTAGCTTTGTGTTAGTAATTACCTAACATTGTCAGAAGCTGACTGCAGGCCTCTTTCCAGTGATAACAGAATAACCGCATAATGTAGCTTTATAGCACGTGATTAATAGAAAATAATTACATGTCCTACAAAGGGATGCAATATTTCTTATAAATTGACTAGAATGCTTTCCTGTAGATTAAAGGACTCTTCATTATTTTATCAGTCCCCCTGAAGTACAGTCACTGCCTATGTTAGCATTTCAATTGATGTTAAGAGCTGAATAGGTGAAGGATACCAGATGGCAGACCTCCTTGTACCTGAGAACTGTGTTCCATAAAGATTACATGATGCTTCCTAACCTTTCAAAGATTTAGACGACAGCCTGGTATGGTTTGTCTCTTTATTTTTTGTTTGCTAAGAAGATAAGGTTTGAGAGTTTTCATTTTTGTTTTTTAAATGATCCACCTGTGACTTTATAGAACAATACTATAATTAGTCTGTGGACTGCAAAACAACATTGTATCGGTTGCATTATTTTCCACTGTCTAAGTAATATATCATGCATAATCACATTTGTTTGGAGGTGGCAAAGAGCAAAGGGAAAGACAGGCAGATTTTCTTTTTCAAAAGGAAATCTTGCATGATATTGAATGTTCAGGCCAAAGTTTAGAATACTGTATTCCAAGGAGCATTTTCATTCCCATTTATAGGCTGCAAATGGTTTAATTGGGATTCATGTTGCTCAGGAGGCTCATACAGAGAATAGTCATGATGAAAGTAAAAGCTCCTGTATTTGCAGTCTTGTCAACATACTCTAATGGCTGCAGCATAAATCCATACATTTGCCTCCTATGTTTTTACCTCACTACATTTGATTGTAATGCATTAATTCCAAACAGGAGTATAATTTGCAATTCTTTACAAATATAAGGTAATAAATATTCTCGTCTTTAACCCTTTTTTGATTTAAATCTGATATTTTAGAGTATTTTTATGAACCATATATTTCATATGTTTTTCAATTATGTTAAACTAACTGAAGCATTTATTTTAGTCTAAACCCTTTTTCTCCCTAGAGTGCTACTTTTAAGGGATTTGTTTATAGGTGATTAAGCTCCTCCCTGCTGTTTACCACTATGCTTTCTATTTAATAAATCTTTCTGTTCTACCACAGCACAGAATCCTCTCAAGTGTGAAGTCTGTCCTTCGTTGATGTAATTTCTTGGTAACTAATTTCTTAAATTTGGGTGTGAGTAGCTTTTTGAAAATAACATGCCTTTAGTTGATAGCATAGACTATGTATGACCAAAGTAGAATATTATAAAGTAATAACTTTCTGGCTTGTAATTTGAATCTAAACATTGATCCCCAGATTGAGGGCCATTCTCTGGAAGCAAGTTTAAGCCAATAATATGTTGTCTCACTGAATGATTTCTATGTCTATTATTGGGGAGCAGGGGGCTAGTTCCTTTTCTCATTCCAAATAATCAGTTTTAAAAATTTTCTATCGACATTGGATAAGAGCTTTAACATTGAGACCTACCCTGTTAATTATCCATTTTGAAATCATACAATAGTCTGATGGTTAAGTACGCTTGTTTTGTTAAGCATTAGGCTCCAATTGTATTCATTGCCTTAAAAATAGAAAAGAGCAGTTTTACTAGGTACCTATTAAGATACAATGGTTGCTAATCATGACTTTCAGTTAGTATTTTCTTCTGATAAATATGTCCTACAGAGATTATAGCCATCATTGGGTTCTGGGAATCAGAGTATCCTCGTTGTTTAGACAGTTTTGTCTACTAAGTTCACACCATCAGTGAACTTTAAAAGTTTAAAACTTAAAATCTTGAGTTTATTGCCTAACAAGCCAGAGCTGTGCCCTCAATAGAATAAGAATTGCAGCAGTGGTCTTTTCTTCCCTCTCCCCCTCCACTTTCTTCTTCCAAAAAACCTAATCCTGATACTGCCCACTGTTTGAAAAAGTGCCTATAAATTTTATCCTGTAATCTCTATTGATAGATGACATATCAATTCATACACGCTAATGAAATGCTACATTTGTATTAAAGAACTGCCTAATTTTCCTTTCTGATCATCAATAGCATACTAATCAATACAAATGTTAAGTCTGTACTAGTATTAACATTCCCTCCCCACATATAACTCAATATGCATATGCACATTTATCTATGACTCAGACACTGGAAAATCATAACCTATTGAATGACTTTTGAGATTGATTTTAAAAATTTATCTTATATAAAAAATTAAATTTGAGCACTACAATCCTTGTGAAGAGTATTGCTTTTGGAAGATATTATTCTTGAAACTTGTAATTCATTTTACTTTGTTTGTATCTCACTACACATAAATAAATTTGAGACAAAAATACATTAGTCAATCTGGCAGACATATGAGACCAGTTACCGAGTATTCACAATGCCTAAAGCAGTGGCGTATCTGTCAAAGGAGGAAAAAGTGGGAGAAAAGGAGGCATAGGTTTGCTTATCTCACGTTGCAAAGTAAATGCAGAAGTGACTCATCAATCATTGTGTTTTAGAGCTAGATTAATATTTTGGCTTTATAACTTGAGATACTTTTATTTTCTATTGATCTTCCACTGTAAGGGTGACTAACACAACCTTTAAATTCCTTCTACCTATCTATCCTTTATCTAAGGTAGTTTATGGTCAATAAAAGGAATGATAAATGCCTTAGGGAAACTATTTTAAAGGAACCTATTTGTGAATTATTTTTTAAGCAGCTTTTTGGTATTTTTAGTGTTTCCTTATTTTCTAATTATCTATTAAAGTGTGTATGTTAGATTTTCTTAGGAAGGGGCACACCTCTATCAACATTCTAAATCATTTTAGGTCATATAAGTTTAAGAAATAAGTAGTTTATTGTAAAAAAGTTTATTGTAAAAAATTATTTTATCCTCTCTAGATGATAAGCTTCTTGAAGGCAAATATAGTATTATTTGCTTTAACCTTCTATGGCCTCTAACACATAAAAGGTGTCCCCAAGCTTTGTGGAGAGAGTCTGTCCCTGAGAGTAGGCTTCCTGAGGTAGTTTCATTTTCTAAGTTTTTATCATGAGTGATAGTTTCTGTGTTCTCTGCCCAGTAATAAACAGGCTTTGTGTTATACCTTAATTTAAATTGTTGCCTAAAAGCATTTTAAAGTGTCCAGAAACAAAAAGATGAAAATGTTCCCATTTGCAGCTCAAGCTCTTTTAACTTTATAAATAAAATGAGATTTCTAAGAAGTTGCATACAAACAACATTGTACTTACACCAGTCTAAAGGTTAATATTGCATATTGTTTTCAATTAGGAATACAATAGATATGGCTGGTGGGTAGGAGAAATGAAGGGAGCCATTGGCTTGGTGCCTAAAGCCTACATAATGGAGATGTATGATATTTGAGAGTCCTGGGTAAGTACATTTTAATCCAATATTCTGTAATAGCTCATATGTTCTCTTGGTCTCTCGTTAATGAGTCTTTTTGCCTTTTTAAAAGTCTTTAGAGTTTTCTGATAATACAAAGATTGTGCCCCTAAATCTTTTTTGTTTTGTTTGATCTGGTTTAATTTTTAAAACATAAATTTTTAAAATAAAAACTTCATGGAATTTACTTTGGAAATGAATAGATTATTTAGAGACAGTTCCTTTGATAGTAACCAGCTGTTTTCCCAAACTTCTTCCTCTTCAATAAAACACCACTTTTATGGCCTTTCTGAAGAGTTGAATTGACAAAATGTTGAGTAAAAATAATTTTTCCTTGGCTAAAAGTGTAATTTTTTTAAGCAGGAAAAATCAAGTTTCAACTGAATCAAAAAATTAAAACAAAGCTTTTCCTTTCTCCTGCAGAAAAGGAAGATTCTTCTGCTTGTCTGCAAATGCTTTGGATTTAGAAGCATCATAAAGCACTGAGACAGCTCCTAACTTCTCTTTGTTTTGTTAAATATCACTTGTCTTTGACTGTTACTTTATGCAGTCACTCATTAAAATATTCCTCTGATGTGAAATTAAATGAAGGGTATTAATGTAAATTTGATGCAAGCAGTAAAGTTATACCTGTTGCTATTTTGCAAAGAAATAATTATAGTTTTTATTTACCCATTTGATTTGTGTGAAGAATTCATCACTATTTTATAGGTACTATATAGTCTACTATAGTATAGTAGTCTACTATTGCTACTTCTGAGTTGTAATGTTTCTTAATCATTGGACCTAAGTTAGTTTTAGAGTGTAATATATAATTTCATGGCATTTTAAATTTAATATATCACACAAGTATTTTTGGTAGATGCTAAAGAATGTGGTTGCTAAACAAAGAATGCCAAAGAATGTTCAAGCTTTTAGATAATTTATTGTTAGTATTTATTTTCACACAATAGTAACATGTTTTTATAAAAGAAGTTTGACAGATTGGCACATGTACGTCCTATTAAATATAGCCACAAGAAAGAAAAAATGATAGAGTTGCAAATAGCAGTGTGCTGTCACCTGCCACACAAGTGCATACCAGAAGTATGATTTGTGCAAAGCATTTTACCATACAAATATCCTGGTTTGATGATGGGCCTGGCAACATTTTCTACTGTACTTTTGTTAAAATTTAATCAAACAAAAAAATTCGTATGAACCTCCATCCTACCACTCACAAAATGGTATAAAGAATCTCCCAGCCTGGTCAACATGGTGAAACCCTGTCTCTTCTAAAAATACAAAAAAATTAGCTGGGCTTGGTGGCGCACCTGTAGTCCCAGCCAGTCAGGAGGCTAAGGCACGAGAATCGTTTTAACACAGAAGGCAAAGGTTGCAGTGAGCTAAGATCGCACCACTGCACTCCAGCCTGGATGACAGAGCGAGACTCCATCTCAAAAAAAAAAAAAAGAAGAATCTCAACGTATTCTCAAAGTAAAAAGGCATAACCAAACACACTCTTATCCTGCCTTATTCCTATACTATTTATGTCCCACCACAGAATAGCAGATCTGAGTCTTTTCTATATATTTCTCAGAGCACTGAAAAGAAAAGAAATGTTTGGAGAGGAGAGTGTAGAAATCCCAACAGTAGCATGTACCAAGAGGTGAGTAGAAAGGTAGTGTTAGCCTGACATTATACTCTGTGCGCCTGAACAAGATTTGTAGAATCATATATATAATTTGCCTTTTCATGTATATTTGAAATCAGAGGTATTTAAAATGCCTGTAAGATACCAATATAGCCTTAATATATGTCAAAATGCATTGCTGACTGGATAATTATTTGGAATACACATAATCTCCTAATATTGAATAATTACTTGTCAGGTATTATCTTTATGGAACTTTTCAATGTCTTTGCTTTATGAAGATTCTAACCATGCATTTGAACTGGTAATATTTTAAAATCTCCATTATTTATGTAAAACTGTTTACAAGCAGTGTTTGAGAAGGTCTGTTTTACCATTATCCCCTCAATATCATGATCATCCAATCTCAAATGTAAAAAATGAAAAAAAGAAATTTGACATTAGGGATTGTGAGTAAACAAATTTATATATATAGACATTGTGAAGTTAAAGTTTTCAAAAATTACATTTGTGCAGTTGTTACTTTTTCCACACAGTGTCACTGAAATAGACTGAAATAATCTTGGCATAAGTTAGACAACCAAAGATGAATTTAGCGGACTGGTTTGAGCAGCTGAAAAGCCAAAGCCGTTGTGTTTCCAATGACAAGGCAGCCTTTGTGGGTTTGGGTTTGTGGTTCAGGCTGAAAAGAAATTTTTATTCCTAAGCCAGTAGATGGCAGCAGCTTTTCACTGCAGACAAAACCACTTGAAACCCCTCCCCCACGGCACAAACTCGCCCGTGATGGAAAACGTTTAGGTTTCTGCCTCCTTTTACAGTTAATCCAGGAGAGGGAGTCCTTTGCCAACTGATGACCAAATATTCCAAGCCAGATAGTCTCGTCAACAGTGACAGTACAGAAAAAAGGTGTTATTTCTATCCAGAACTCCTCTGGCTTTGTTCTTTTTAAACTGGAATATAGGTGGGAGACATAAGAAACAAGACTTCAAACTGGAGTGACAGGATAAATAATCATTACTTTCAATTCATGACTGCTCTATATTCATTTGATGAAATCATTTGTATACAACTAGGGAGAAAGTTTTCTTTACACCCTTGACAATACATCACATACACTTCAAGATCATAATAATATCATTAATATGAATTTAAACAACATGGCTTGTTAGAAAATATGCTAATTGCTATGTTCTCATTATGTTTGCTTAGCTTTTATTTGTTTTTCTATGAACAGTTAGAGAGCTAATTTTTTTCAAAGGTGATTGTAAGTCATATTTTATATAGCATTTTGCTTGATTATTTGCTCTGTACTGAATTTGTACTCTATTGCCATTAGATCTTACAATAATGTTCCACTCTGCAAATTTTTAAGGTTCAAATAAAGTTTAATTGTTTGCAAACTGTTATGATGCTAATAATTCAACAGCCTGCTGTGTTACTAATGAAATTACTTTGTTATGATTAATTTGGAAAATAGTGTGTTGATTGTAGTAATTAACCACAACAAGGTGAAGTAAATGATTCTAATGCCATCTGGCCTCCAAACTGAATGAAGAAATGAAATAGGGCTGTCATCTGAATTTATTCAAAGAAGTCAGGATAATACAAATGACTTTCATTGCTACAGGATTTATACTTAACATAGCTCACTCCTCACTATTTTTGCCACTTTGCTGCATATGACACTTTTATGGAAAAAGAATGTTGATTAGTCCAGCAATTGTTTTGAATACTTGATTTTATTGTAAGCTGATGATTTCTACTCTGTGCTAATTTAATTACAGATAATTACATAAAGTATTATAGGACCATGGGAAAAAAAAGTCACTTTTCATCCATGTGTAGGTGAAATCTATATATGTGGGGTTTTGTTTTTGTTTTAGCTTTTTTGTTTTGCTTTTTGCTATCAGTATACAAACACTTTGAATATAGCCTTGCATAAAGATTAGGGCTACCATGCAAATGTTTCTTAAATATGTACAGTCAAAGACTCACTCTTAGTTCTTGTGATTTATACTTTTTATATAATTTTATGTAATTTCTCCACTCTACTACTTGCTAGTCATTCATTGACTGGTACTATCCAGGGTCATAATTTAAAATAGAACTCAGTTATATATTACAGATTCAGATTTGCAGTTAGAAGAAAACTAACCCTAATATACATGTTGTTTAAGAGCTTGAACTTCATCAGTGAGACTGAAGTGAAGCATTGTGAGAATTTTTAAGTTCTTCTAAATTTCAGATAAATCAATCATTTGTATTTCATTTGTTGGAGTTATAGACACACACCATATAGAGATCACTTTTACTTCTCTTAAGTAGATTCAAGAATATTGAAAAGCAATCCACATGGTAAAAAAAAAAAAAGAGGTAGTGAAGAGTAGAGATCAAAACATGATCAAGCCATGGAAACATGGCTTCATTCAAAGTTTGAAAGAATACGCTCTGTGTGTGTGTGTGTGTGTGTGTGTGTGTGTGTGTGTGTGTCTACACTAAATATAAAATAAAAACATTTGATGAATATGGCCTTATTTATTAGTAATATATTTAGTATTCAAAAATACAGAGAAACAAATTCCATGTTAAAATATTATTATACATGTTTAATATACACTCAAATGCATAAGTTTATCATCTGTATTGGGAACAAGGGATTTCTAGACATCTCAGCTTTAGCCAACTTATTGTACACATACTGCCTTATAGTTGAGTTCTTCCAGAATATCTGTTAGAACCCATGATAGTATAATATTTTGTTATAAGATAAATCTTTAAAAATTATATGATCAGTGTAGCATGAAATGACATTTCATTAATGCTGTGTTTGAGGGACTTTTTCTGCTAGTAGAATCTGTTCTATCATTACTTATATACAAACATATTATTTATTGCCAGCATGGCACAAAGTGCATAGTGTAGATCCAGTAAATATTTGTTAATTAACTGATTTGGCACCCCACAATATCTCAAGACCTGAAATTTAAGAAGAAAAGAGCTTGACTACTAAACCCAGTAGGGAAAATGCCTTTATACAGTTAGTATATCCTATAATACCATCAATGAGTAGATTAGATTTTATAGTTGTTAACAGAAGTAGTGAGATTGTGAATAATAAAAAAGTTGAGCTGTGGTAGATAGTCCTTAGATGTTTCCTTCCTTTCTTTCCTTGTGTTCAATGTTGTGACCTCAAATAAGGGGCACAGGTGCCTCGGGCAGCTTGGGGCAAGTGATCTACTTTCACTTTCCAGTGAAATCACTGCTGCCCTGCATTCTACTTGGGTAATATCTGAGAAGCCTTTCCTGCATCTGTTCATGACAGCTAGAAAGTGAGAAGTGCAAGTAAGTGAGAAGTTTCATAGTCACTGCCAAATCTAATCATAATTTAGCTTTTGTCCTTTTTGTTAACTTTTACTCCCTATTTAAAGTTGTATGATTATGTTAACTTAAGTGCTTTGAGTCCCTAAGATGAAAGGAACCATAAATGCAGAAAGTAGCCTTAGACACACCACTGCTCAGTTTAGGTGTGCAGTGTTGAGAAAGGGGCTGGGAGTTAAGCAACCTAAAACACTTGAATATTTGCAAAGGTGTAAATACAGAAAAAGCTCCTGAAGCCCATCTCTTAAGTGCCTTTCTTAATGCTGGAACTTTGGAAGGCGTTCGCCTAGGTTTCTCTCTTTTTTGTTTTTTGTTGTTTTTTTTTTTATCCATTACTTGGAGAAGTAATATAGCACAGCACTTGTCTATCTTCTGTTTATTGGCTTCAACTTCGTAATATAAAAATATCACTCCTGCTAGAGTAAAAGCAGGTGCCATTTTGTAGCTTGAACTGCAATTTACTTCTTGTTTGAGGAAAGTGTCACACAAGTACTCTCAAAGGAGAAAATTAATGACACTAGTATATGCTGGTTAAAGACAACTGCTTTAGTGGAAGAGAAAATTCCAACAAAATAAGCAGATTCTCATACACTACCCTCCCTTCCTAGCCCCCATGAAGTCCATTTAGAAAACCCTGTGTCCTTTATCATGTCAAATGTGATGATACCAATTTAACTAAGACTAGTAATAGTAATAGATAACATTTACTGAGTGTTTGCTATTTGTCATGCTGTTCACTTTTCATTCAATTCTTATGACAACCCTATGAGGTAAGTTGTTACTCATTACCATTTTCCCGATTAGGAATCAGGCCAAGTAATATGTTCCCAAAGCCTTAGGCTAGTGAGTTTCCTAACCAAGCCTCACACCAGCCTCCTTCTATTCTGCTATGCAGTACTGTGATGAATTAAACACTGAACTAAATACTTCAATTTTGTATATAATAGCCATACAACAAATGCTTGTTGACCACTGATGATGCCACCATTTCTATAAAATAATCTGAAGCACGTGAAAAGAATCATCCAATAATTGACAATTGGATAGCTGATTTTGGCTGATTTAGTCAGTAAAGCATACCATGATGATCATAACAAATTCAAAGCAGCTGATCTACAATGGAGACTAAACTTCTATGCAGGAACACTTGACCTTCCAGTCCAGATGAAAACAGGAAGTCAATCAAAGCAGCAGAGTCCAGAGGGGACACCAGGCCAAAGTGACCCTTTTCTGAGGACCTTTTCCTATCCTCTCTACCTCCTCCACTGTGAAGCCCAGTAAACTGACCAGCCAGGGGAGCCTTGAAGAGGACTGTAAATCCAGCTGCTTCTGTCTCAAATAGTTGTTTTTTCAGGGGATGGGTTTTAATTGATAGGTGTAAAAAAAATGGTTTAAAGGATTATTAAAAGACTGTACAGTCAACCAACTTCGTTGTCAAACGTGTATAATTTTGTGACTGAGTGATGGCAATGTCTGACATGACTTTTACTTGTTGAGATATGAATTTGTTTAAGAAGAATTTGTAATTGGAATATCTGATAAATAAGTACAAGGTCTTATTCCTTGGACACTCAAATAGTACCTTGTACTGGGCCTCATGAAGACTTTTTTTGTGTTTTTTGAAGAAATCCTTTTTAAATATTTTTGTACTTCAGTGATTGGAGGCTGAGGGGTGGAGAGAGTGAAAAGATTAAGAGATAAGTAAGGACTAACATTGGCTCTGGAATTTAACCAGAGAGGTGGTAAAATTGAGCCCTCTAGTAGTCTAAAATATACCCTATAGTACTGTCTTATAGCCCAAGAGAAAGGGCTTTTCCAAGGAGCCTGAGTCATATCAGCCATAAGCTGTTAGGATTCTTATCACTCTACAGAGTTCATAATGTCAGGTGTGCCCTATGCTTTCTGGGAACCCAGCAAAAACAAGGTGTGTAACTGTGTGTTTATCCTGTTATAAGATAAGCATCCTGAACTGAAAACTGAAATGCAGCAATCTTGTTAGTGTGTGTTATCTCTCTGTTGCTTTGCTCCAGTTGGTCAGCATATTTGCTTTATTCTTTATTATCATCTCAGGGCTTGCTGTTTTTCTTCCTCTCTAATTAAGTGATTCCATTTTGAATAAATTATGTTTAAGTGCCATCCTGTGCAAGGGATATTTCAGACATAGAATTTGACATAGTCTTCCCCAAGTAGATTCATGGTCTAAATAAGACAGACAAGATGTAGACAAAGGGAAGGATAAGGAGAGCTCCACATAACCTTACCTTGGTACAGTTATTAGCAGGTTAAGCCACTAGCAGTGTCCTAAGACATAAAAGGTTCTCTGATTTTGTGACATCTGAACCTTAGGGATTATCTGGGAAACAAACTGGGTATCTTTTCTCATGTATATATTTGTAAAATAAACGAGGAGGGAATGCAAGGGTTTCAGTACTGTTTCAGATGAGATATTTATTTTTTGTAAAAATTCCAAAATGCTTGTAGCTATTGAATTAAGTGTGAGGGGAAGCAAAGAGCTGTGTATATGAACAATGTGAACATCTTTTACCGAGTTGCTACCGGTTACAGTAACATTACTCTGGAAGCTGAGAGTGACCTCTACCCCTTTAGGAATAAAGACTCTTTTCCTTAAGTTGGGGACAGAGTTGTAACCAGCAGTATTCTCCTGAAGGTGAGCAATAGTAAGAACACTGGAACTGGAATCAACCAAAATTCTAGTTTCACTCGTGCCTTGTGCCCTGGAATAGGCTTCCTTGCCTGCAGAATACCAGTGGTGCCTGTTCTCCCTGCTTCACAGGATTGTGGTTAGGCTCAAGTGAAATTACGTTTAGAAGTGACCCAGAATATCAACAATAGTGTCAAATATGGCTTTCCTGCATTTAAAGATATGAGAACTGAAATGAAACAATGATTGAATAATTTCTCCTTCACACCAAAAGCAAGCAAGGGGGAAAAAAATTAATACTCAGCATTGGCTGTAATACTACTTGAAATAATATTAGCTCTTGGTATTATTATTTTATAACGAA